GGTCTGGGGCTCCATGCAAGATCTCACCTCGTGGGGCATCAATGATCATGAGGAAGATGAGGGATCAGCCCAGAACTACACGGCAGGACCTGGTCAATGACCTGAAGAGAGCTGGGACTACAGTCTCAAAGAAAACCATTAGTAACACACTACGCCGTCATGGATTAAAATCCTGCAGCGCACGCAAGGTCCCCCTGCTCAAGCCAGCGCATGTCCAGGCCCGTCTGAAGTTTGCCAATGACCATCTGGATGATCCAGAGGAGGAATGGGAGAAGGTCATGTGGTCTGATGAGACAAAAATAGAGCTTTTTGGTCTAAACTCCACTCGCCGTGTTTGGAGGAAGAAGAAGGATGAGTACAACCCCAAGAACACCATCCCAACCGTGAAGCATGGAGGTGGAAACATCATTCTTTGGGGATGCTTTTCTGCAAAGGGGACAGGACGACTGCACCGTATTGAGGGGAGGATGGATGGGGCCATGTATCGCGAGATCTTGGCCAACAACCTCCTTCCCTCAGTAAGAGCATTGAAGATGGGTCGTGGCTGGGTCTTCCTGCATGACAACGACCCGAAACACACAGCCAGGGCAACTAAGGAGTGGCTCCATAAGAAGCATCTCAAGGTCCTGGAGTGGCCTAGCCAGTCTCCAGACCTGAACCAAATAGAAAATCTTTGGAGGGAACTGAAAGTCCGTATTGCCCAGCGACAGCCCCGAAACCTGAAGGATCTGGAGAAGATCTGTATGGAGGAGTGGGCCAAAATCCCTGCTGCAGTGTGTGCAAACCTGGTCAAGACCTACAGGAAACGTATGATCTCTGTAATTGCAAACAAAGGTTTCTGTACCAAATATTAAGTTCTGCTTTTCTGATGTATCAAATACTTATGTCATGCAATAAAATGCAAATTAATTACTTAAAAATCATACAATGTGATTTTCTGGATTTTTGTTTTAGATTCCGTCTCTCGCAGTTGAAGTGTACCTATGATAAAAATTACAGACCTCTACATGCTTTGTAAGTAGGAAAACCTGCAAAATCAGCAGTGTATCAAATACTTGTTCTCCCCACTGTATATGATAGATTCTGTATACTTAATATGAATCCCAAAACGGACATTTTGGATTCAAATGGAAAAATATTGCATATTTTATGAAAATGGGTGAGATACCTGGATGTAAGCTCTCTCTGTTCCTTATCCATAATTGTGCTATTGTTACCGTGCCTCGAAGAACCTATGTGTCACGCCCTGGCTCTGGGGACACTGTTATGTTGAGCCAGGGTGTGTAGATCTATGTGTTTTGTTTCTATGGTGTAAATTCTATGGGTGCTATTTCTATGTTGGCCAGAGTGGCTCCCAATCAGAGGCAACGAGTGTCAGTTGTTGCTGGTTGTCTCTGATTGGGAGCCATATTTAAACAGTCTGTTTTCTTTCGTGTGTGTGGGATCTTGTTCGTGTTGGTTTGTGTTTGACCAGTGACTGTCACGTTATCGTTTTGTTCGTGTATCATAAATAAAGAGTATGTTCGTCTGCAACGCTGCGCCTTGGTCCTCATCTCTTACCGACGATCGTGACAGAAGATCCCACCAAAACGGGACCAAGCAGCGTGTCCAGGAGCCATCGCCAGGGGAATCGCTAGCAGATCTCCGTGGCAACCTCGACTGGGTCAAGCCTAGTGAGGAGCAGAGAGGGTGGACTTGGGAACAGTGGAGGAAGAGTTTTGATTGGGTCAAGCCAAATGAGGAGCTGAATGGCGGGAGTTGGAAGCAGAAGAGCGAGAGTTGGGCGAGAACTATAGAGGCCTGGCGCACGGGGAAGAGAGACCCCCAGAATTTTTTTAGGGGGGGGGGCTCACGACGTCGGGGCAGCAGGAGGCTGCGATAGAGCGGTCCAGCGGGTTGGCGGAGGAGGCCGCCAGGTTAAGGGGGCCACTGGTCAAAGAAGGGAAGGAAGGTGTAGAGGCACGGCGAGAGGTACTGGGGTGTGTTACCAGTCCGGTCCGGCCCGTTCCAGATCCCGGTGTAGGGCCAGTGGTGTGTGTCCCCAGTACGGTCCGGTCTGTTCCTGCTCCCCGCACCAAGCCTACGGTGCGCGTCGCCAGCCCAGCCCGGCCTGTTCCTGCCCCTCGCACCAAGCCTACGGTGCGCGTCGCCAGCTCGGCCCGGCCTGTTCCTGCTCCCCGCACCAAGCCTAGGGTGCGCGTCGCCAGCCCGGTCCGGCCTGTTCCTGCCACTCGCACCAAGTCAGGGGTGCGAGTCGTCAGCCCGGTCCAGGCCGTTCCTGCTCCACGCACCAAGCCAGGGGTGCGTATTGTCAGCCCGGTTCGGCCCGTTGCTGCTCCACGCACTAAGCCAGGGGTGCGCATCGTCAGCCCGGTCCGGTCCGTTCCTGCTCCACGCACCAAGCCAGGGGTGCGCATCATCAGCCCGGTCCGGCCCGCTCCTGCTTCCCGCACCAAGCCTATGGTGCGCATCGCCAGCCCGGTCCGGCCCGCTCCTGCTCCTCACACCAAGCCAGTGGTGTGCGTCGTCAGTCCAGCACGGCCCGTGCCTGTTCTCCACACCAAGCCAGTGGTGGGCGTCGTCAGTCCGGCACGGCCCGTGCCTGTTCCACTGGTGCCTGGTTCGGCACCGGTCAGATGCCTTACGCCGGAGCTAGAGCAATCCGCTCCATCAGTGTGCAGTCCAGCTCCGGCCAGCGGGGCCAGACCGGACCAGGGGTACTTTGGGGGGTTGGAGAGGGAGCAGGGATCAGGCCCGGAGCCGGATCCACCGCCTAGGCGGAGTGCCCACCCGGTCCCTCCCCTGTGGTATTTGGTTGACGCGGTCGGAGTCCGCGCCTTTAGGGGGGGGTACTGTCACGCCCTGGCTCTGGGGACACTGTTATGTTGAGCCAGGGTGTGTAGATCTATGTGTTTTGTTTCTATGGTGTAAATTCTATGGGTGCTATTTCTATGTTGGCCAGAGTGGCTCCCAATCAGAGGCAACGAGTGTCAGTTGTTGCTGGTTGTCTCTGATTGGGAGCCATATTTAAACAGTCTGTTTTCTTTCGTGTGTGTGGGATCTTGTTCGTGTTGGTTTGTGTTTGACCAGTGACTGTCACGTTATCGTTTTGTTGTTTTGATCGTGTATCATAAATAAAGAGTATGTTCGTCTGCAACGCTGCGCCTTGGTCCTCATCTCTTACCGACGATCGTGACACTATGAGGTTTATATAGAGTAGACTCTCTGGTTCACAGTGGGAGGAGAGGGTACTTTTTTAGAGAGGGGAAAATACAGATCATAGTTTCTGCTGTAGATGTTGCTAACTTCCTTGTCTATAGAAATTAAATCTTGGGTTGATATTTTGATCCCCAGGCAACTTATTTTGTGTATGATGCATTTTGTGCATTAGAAGTCTGAAGAAAAATATAGGAGTTGTGATTCCCCCATGTAGGTAAAGTAAACTCAGTGAGCGGAAAATAATTAATACAAGTGTTTTATTGCTTAAGTTCACAGCCCTGATTTCCAAAGCTAAATACACATTGTTGAAATGGGTGTCTCAAAATGTTATGCACACAAGGTTCCCAATGGCAATTGTGACAAATGAGAGCGTTCTCACAGTAAATCAGTTGTGCATCATAATAAGCACTTACATTTTCTGAAGCGGAGGATGGGCCATGTTCTTACAACGGCTATGTGTCCCCAGCCGGTGCCATTTATTGAGGACGGACATGTTTTTCCTTTTTTCTTTTGTTTGTTACTTTGATCTTGGAATATTATGGGTTTCTCAACAAATGGAACTAAATTACAAATGCATGAATGTGTAAAACAAATGCTGTAGTCAAATGTTTTACCGAAAAGCAAACCTGAAGCAGATCTCCTTTTCTTTTCACTTTTTGAATGATCAGGTCAGTGTTCTTCCCTTTAGTTCCCATTGTTATTAGAGGTCAGTGGTTTCAGTGGTGTACTTCACTTTACTATTTATATATATTTTTTACAACCTTTACATTTACTCCACTATATTCCTAAAGAAAATATGTACTTTTTACTCCGGATACATTTTCCCTGACACCAAAAGTATTTGCATGTCAGTCTGATTGTAAACCATTATAATCATTCCTCAATCTATCTGAATATAAACAGTATCCTTAAGGTAGGAATATGTCATATGTGTGCTATCTGAACAATGAATAATCTGATAAATGGCAATTGTTCATGAACAATGGCTTCTCCTTAATGTACGGTATCTGAATATAAACAGGGGATATGATATCATGCTATCGACAAGCAATCATATTGAGAAAGTCTGAAATATGACCCCATAGGGTTCACATGAGGTTAAAATCCTCATTTTAATTATATTTGCCGCCACAATAGTAACTATGTCATATGGGTATTCCAATCTAGTTATGTTGTGAGAAATATTTCAGGAAGTGTAAACATCTGTGGTTCATAACTAGGTTATTGAGGTGAGCTCAGTTTGACTACCCATACTCAAATATTATGGGGCGATTTCCCAGAAACAAATTAAGCCTGGACTAAAAAGCAATGTCAATGAATATTCTCCATGAGCTTGCTTATGGGAAACCTGCCCAATGAGTATAAACACGATTAAAGGACAATAACAATGGTAAACAAAGTCTATCACTCAAAAGATGTTTAATGAGTGATTAAAACATGAATTGTCAATGCTAGGGGTGTTATCACATTGCTTTCTCCAAAATCTGGCAAATGTGATAATATAAGTCCATTATCCCATTGGGAGATATTTTCTTTAAATAATGTCTCCAAGTTTCTTTGGCAACAGGCAGTCACATTCAAGTAGTCCATCACAAAGGCTCATAGAACACCTGAGCATAGCCTACACAATATTCATTTACAACATCTCAAAGCGGTGTTAAGTACAAAGACAGAACTTCTGAAATGGCCAGATGGTCAGCTTCTGAAATGGTTGCAGCTTCTGAAATGGTCAAAGGAGTCACTAAGGTGAAACGTTTGTTTTTCCTCTCCACACCCCCATCCACCCATCCATCCGTCCATCCATGCAGCCTATATGTACCATTTACTGTACATCCCAGATCTCGCAGAGGAGGGGTGTGAACTTGTGGTCGCTCATGCGCCAAGAGGTGAGCATCTCGGCATGGTGGTGGTTGAGGGTACGCAGCTCGGTCAGACGGCCCAGGAGACGGGCAAAGTGCTGGGGCTCCAGCGGGTGCTGCATGGCACAGAACCTCCTGAGCACCTCCAACATGGGCTCCTGCAGCCTCTCCACCGCCTGCTGGCCCTTCACGTATGGCCGGTCTGTAGAGGAGATGAAAGGGGAAGTTCAATATTTTACAACTAAAGGATAGATCGTTTCTCACCCTGAAAGTAGTCTATGGGGAAAGAGAAGCTGTATTCCATGGTTCGGTTTACAAACTCCAGATAATTTTAGCCATCGCTAGCTAAGAAGGAGGGATAGGGGGCATTCGAAACATGTTTTTAAAAAGGCCCAATCATCTTTAAGTAACGTCAAACCAAATAGTCGAGTTGATTTCAGTTGATTTGACCATGACATTTTAACTTGTGCCACATGACCAGGTGGCAGCTCACCTGGTGAGAGGATGGTAATGGCAGTGAGGAGGGCGTGTTCTTCCTGCATCATCTGGAGTTCCCCAATGCTTTTGTAGAAGGTGAACATGGGTGTAATGAACTCCTCTGATATGCCTGGAAAACATGCGGAGGTGCATGATCAATACACAACCATTGGATGGCAGTATCGTCCATAGATGGCAGTATAGATCACTGAGGGGAATGGGTTCAAACATTTTTCAAAGGTGATACCTAATATAATTCCCATAAAGTCCCACTGTAATGAACCAAAATATGTGATAAAGATTAGAGGTAGTATACCATTTGAGGATACCATTAGACTTTTACAGATTTCCATAAAAAATAATCTGAGAATAGGACAACCCCCACCTCCACCACTACTACCACCAAAACCATTTTAAAAATCCACCCTATCCAGTCAGTCACATCACATCACAGAGCCATAAGCCTTCAGAAATGCCAGGAGCGCACAAAGAGGGAGAGTGGTGGACAATAGAGCTCTCGATGTTTAGATAAAGAACAATAGCCTCTTTAGACATCATTTCTCTCTTTTCCCTCAGACTGGCCTTTAGCTTGAATATCTCTCAACTAATCCATTCACTCAGGACCTGCACCAAGGGACGTAGTGACGCACACATAGCGGCCATCTCTACCACTCTGTATTCAACTGTACAACCAAGGGTGTCAAAGTGACAGCTCAGATATGACTGCATATAAAAGCATTACAGTAGACTTTATATATCAAGACAGCCAGACTGCAGCACTCTTTAAAAACTATATCAATAAAGATGTAGAAATAAGTTTAGTTAGGGATTAGTATGAAGATTTCTCAACAACAAAAAGGTCCAATCATCGATTCACAAATATGGGCTTCTCTATTAAAAGTAATTAATGTAATGTCCCAGTCAGCAAACTGGTTTCAGTGAGCAAACTGGTTTCAAGGATGTCATTTTAACCAGCTTTGCCCGCTGGGGTGATGTGTTGTCTTGTGTACTATACACACAAATCCATGAATGCCAATGGCATAAAGCAAATATCAGAATGTCAAAGCAAGATCCTCCCGTTTGATGTGTTATGACCAGTACAATTAATTGGATGTTTAGTGAATTATTCATGCCACCTCACACAACACTGCCATCCGATACCCAACAATACCAACGTTTATGGACAATAAATCATGGGCATAGCTCTAACTGATACAGTCTAGCTAGCACCTGAAGACATCCCTCTTTTACCACCCTGCCTGGCACATTGCCCATACACGCTCACAATGGAATGAAACGCTATCCGACAGGCAGGGGTCCGTTTACACGGGTAACCCACACCTGGGCAAGGATCAACAGGTCAGTACACTGCTAGGCTGCCAGCCTCGTCAGCTAGATCGTCAGATAAAGCAGTCCTATCCATTATTCACAGCAGACCTGAGTGTGTGTGCGCGCGCGTGTGTGTGGTGGATAAAAGTGCCGGAAACCTACCAACGACATGAATGTTTCATACCAAGCATGGATTGTGGTAAACATTTGTTTGACATTTTAGGGTGATGTTCACGATGATGATTGAGCTGATGATGATGTTTACAATGAAGATGTTTTCGAGGATCATGTTACTGATGATAATGATAATGATAATGATAATGATAACCTCCATTTAGTTCTAGCAGCAGTAGTAGACTTGTGGATGGATATTGGAGTATTGTTGTAGTATTTTCACTTGTATGCGCCAGTTTCCCAGTATGAACGCACCACTCTTGCGTATCCTGTCCTCCAACACCTCTGTGTGTCCATGGGGTAGCTTCCTGGTAAACACCTGTGCTGAGCGCAGGAACATGGCCTCCACTGCCGAGCCCTTCAACAGAGCTATCTGATCCTCATGGTCCAGGGCTGAGAAACCTGCACACATGCACCCACCCACGCACACAGACACACACACACAGTCAGGGGAGATTAGTTAAGGAAGACTTACCTTTCCATTTCAATGTAATGTAACAGAGTTGGTTTGGTGAACTACGCTTGTGTGATGAGTAACCTTGCCTGAGACCTTGCAAGGCTTCCTTGTCTAGCTAAGATTATTGAGTCCTTGGTAAATGTCCAACTTTGCTCTTTTTTATCTGATACATTTATTTTGAATGTAAACAAATCAGGGTTTAGGCCTGGGCATAGCACTATTACACCAACCACTTGTTAATGATCTTGTCAATGCTTTAGACACTAAAAGGAAATGTGCTGCTTTGTTTGTGGACCTGTCAAAAGCTTTTGATACTGTTGATCATGCTATTTTATTGAATAAGTTGTCCTCAATAGGCCTGAGTTCTGACACATGTTCATCGTTTCATGATTATCTTAGTGACAGAACTCAGGCCATCGTGATTGATGGGGTTAAGTCTGAATTTCTTGAAGTGCATAAAGGTGTACCACAGGGGTTGATTGTGGGACCTGTTCTCTTCCCTATTTATATAAACACCATTGGTCAATCTGTTAAAAATTGTAAACTTCATTTATATGCGGCTGATACTATTATGTATGCTATTGCCCCGGCTGTTGATCTGGCTGTGTCAAAACTACAGTCAGATTTTATAGCTATGCAGGAATCCCTTGCTGATTTAAAACTTAAAACATATTGTTTTTAAACTCTCGTAAGAATGTTTCAGATGAACTACATTAGATGGTTCTCCAATTGAACGTGTTCCCGCATATAAATACTTAGGCATTTGGATTGATATGGATTTGACATTTAAAAAACATATAGATTAGCTCTTAAGAAGCTAAGATTTAAAGTTGGCTTTTTCTACAGAAACAGTTTGTGCCTTTCTCTAAGCAGTGGGAAGCAGATTATTCAGTCAATCTGTTCTTTATTACGGTGAGGTTATTTATCAAAGTGTAGCTGCTACTACTCTTAAACCTTCAGATGCTATCTACCTTAGTGCCCTTTCTTTTGTTACTGGTGACAGTTTTGATACTCAACACTGCATTCTGTATCAAAAGGTTGGCTGGACATCGCTAAAGACCCATAGATCTCTACATTACTCACTCTTTGTTTACAAGGCCCTACTTCATAAACTTCCGTCTTATCTAACTTTGCTGTTGAAGTATACACACCTGAGTTGCCTAACCCGTTCACAAGATTGGTTAACTCTTGAGGTTCCCAGGGTCTCCACCGAGCTAGGTAAATCTGATTTTATTTAATGCACTGTATTGCTGGAACAACATTCTAAATACAATTCATCTTAATGTTCTGGTGCCGTTCGGGCAGTTTAGAGTATTGATTGGGGACTTATTTGTGGAGGAATGTAACTGTTTTTCTGGGTGATTTGTGATGTTTTATTTGTGCTTCCCATGACTGTGTTTTTGTATTTTAACGTGTATATATGTATATTTTGTGTAAAATGTGTATATTTGTGTCTCATACTGTATGTCTTCCCTGGTCAAATAAAGGTAATATAAAAACAACGAAAAAACACTTGTGTTAGCTCCCTGAGTTAATGCCTCGGCTTTTGCTCAGTTGGCGAACACAGTCTTGAATCACAATGATGACCCATGTCAACACCTGCTCGGTCCTATTATATTAAGTCATAAAAGTTATTTGTTGTTATCATGTTGCTATGATGTGTCAAGGAGCCGATTAGACTATTAGTATGGAGTACCGAGGTACAAAAGGCCAGAGGTTGACTGATATCGATGTTGACTGATAATCCATGGGAGTAATCTATTTATTTAAACCTTTTATATATAGAAAATATTGGAATGATCATCGTAGCCTAATAGAAGTCCAGACCTGGAATGTCTTTGGTAAACTCCACCAGCACTTGAACATGACTGGTGGCCATCTCTGTCAAAAGGAGGAAGTTCTCTTCTGCATTGAACTGCTCCTGTAGCTGGAGAAACAACAAGGGCACACAAAAGGGATATCATTACAGAATATGGGTGAAGTGACACTGCTGGCTGATAAGGAGTGTTATGTAACTTCATCTAAGACTTGAGGGGAAAAAACAGTCTTACTTCTACTGGGATAGAGAGCATGTGGTGTAAGTCATATCTGTTCTGGGATATGTTGCAAGGGTCTCTTGCTGTCTTCCATGAACTATGAACATGTTTGAGTTGTAAAGCATACACTATGGCTTGGTGAAAAACACACCCCACTCGGCACATACTGGTTGAATCAAAGTTGTTTCCACGTCATTTCACTGATATTATGTAGAACCAACATGGAATAGACATTGAACTGACGTATGTGCCCAGTGGGACAGAATTTCCTAGAATTGTAGGAGATATCACGTACCAGTTCTTTGGCCATGTCTTGAGGAATTCGATGTTTCTGGTAAGCTTCTACGATGAAGCTCAAGAACGCCTGCTGCTCTTGACTGAGCTCAAGCTTCTCCTGCAATAAAACCATTAGCTATCCGTTTTGAATCTCTTCTGTATAACACTAGGGCTATTTAGGAGTCATACTTTGTAAAGTGTCAGTCTTAGCTGTGAGTAATACAATCCCTTGGTGGCAACAGGACTTTAGAACTGTTTAAATATTCATAGTTTACTTTAACATTTGGCTTATGGGGATCAAAGAAAACTGCAGCTGAGGAACTTTTTTTTCTTCATTTTCATGCAATTCCCATATCCAGTAATCAGTGTAGGGCATTTATATTTAGATAAAGAAAAATAGACAATCAAAGAAAAACGAATAATCACTTTTTTAAACAAAGAAAAGGTCTTTCAGGAAAAAGTTATTTTGTCTGAGTTTATAAACATCTAAAATAATTTTGTAGATAGTATTTAGATTCCTAAATTGGGAATCACTGACATGTCGCTCATTTTGAAGAGCAAAAAAACATTCTAAAGAGTAAAAGGGGGAGAGTTTACCTTTGACAGTTTGGTGGTGGAGGTGACCTGTTTGGTGTCTCCGTTGTCTCCCCCCTCTGTCTCGTCCCCAGTGGACTCTCCCAGGGAGGCCTTGGTGTTTTTCCTCAGCCTTTTAGATTTACACTGGATCTCTGTCAGCAGACCTGTGAGCATTGATTATTTTTTAATTTATTTTATTTCACCTTTATTTAACCAGGTAAGCCAGTTGAGAACAAGTTCTCATTTCAAACTGCGACCTGGCCAAGATAAAGCAAAGCAGTGCGATAAAAACAACAACAACACAGAATTACATGATGGGTTCAAACACAAAGTGTTGAAGGAGAATTTCACCCCTACTTGTTCAATAATGATTATCTTTGTGAATGCACTGTAGACAGCCAGCCAGGCCTGATGCCCAGTGCTACAGCAGGCCGTTTGATATTTTATTAAAGTGGCTTCATAGTATAGCTATGGGTTTGAGAAAGTTATTGAGTACATTTTGAACAACGATTATCACCTAAGGTAAGCAGTTAGCACAGATGTAAAGTTAAGATAATTAGGGAACTATTTTCGACAACTGGGGATTTCTCCATTATTACAAATTCTATCAGTGTGATATTATTCTAAATTATACAACCCCTGTATTTTATGCAGGGAGTATGTCAATGTTACTCCTTTCAGTAAAGTTCTGCCAAACCAGGGAAAAATCTATGATCAATGTTTCCTTTGAATGAAGACCTTTCAGAATTGGCTCTTTTTACAGTGAGACCAAAGGAGACTGCGAGATCAGGCCATGAGAGCCATTCAGACCTGCCTAACAGGAGTCAGCGGAGGAAGCACTGTAGCGCCAACAGACAGGGCTGTTGAACGCCTGCTACCTGCAATATTCATCCCAACTTCTTTACAACATTTATGAGCAACATGAGCCAAACTCTGTCCACCTACTCCCCCCACTCTCTTCCCTCCCTCCCTCCTATCTTTCCACAGTCTTTCCTTTAAGAGCAACAATGGTGAGACCTTTCTATTGTGAGAAGTATAACACACTTTCCCTCAGTGGAATTCAAAGCAGTTGTGTCAGAATCCACAAAGACAGTTCTCTGCTATGATCTGAGACTGCCTCCAGTGCATTGAAAGAACAGTATGATGCTATCACACAGTCTTATGAAGAGATAGTCAGGGGGTCAGGCTCACAGCTAGACACATGTCAATCACAGCTAGACACACGTCAATCACAGCTAGACACGTCAATCAGAATCAAATACTGAGAGTGTGATAGCTCTGTTTTAACCATGTTGATCCTAAACTGATAAAAAGTAAATGGATACATGAATGGTCACATTCAATACTACTGAAGAAATCCAAGATAATAAAAAAAAATAAAAATAATAATTAGTAGACTGCAAATTGACCGCAAGTAGCCCAAAGAGATATAATATTTGACTAAAACATAATAATTTCAAACCTTGCTTAAATGTGCATATACAATCACTTATATCTCTTTATTATGCGTGGGAATACTTTGGAACAGGTTTCCTAAATCCTAATCCCTTGGAGCTGATTGGCTGGTGTTTTACACTCTTTTATGTCCAACCCAATTATTATCAGTATTTTATTCTGAAAACAACAATTGCTCAGAAAACTTGGGGTCCAATAAATTCGGCCCGCGATCCGCCAGTTGGGGAACCCTGCTCTAGTGGGAAAGAGCAGGTGCACTTATTCTTAAAGGTGCCCTTAGATATGCCCGTGCTTCAGTTGAATTAAAAGAAAGGGTTTGAATATTCATTTTTGTACGGGCAGGTAATACCGTATAGTATGTGCATCAAGTAACAAGTACCATGAGTTAATAAAACCTGCAATATAGTCTCTCACGTAAAAATGCACATAGTAGTATATCAAAGAGATGGTGTTATCACCAAATTAATTTCCTGACGTTGGCAAGATATTCTGTTGCACATAAGAAATAGCAATATGGTTAGTCACGCAATATTAAAAGAGTTATTCGGCTGTCCCCATAGGAGAACCCTTTGAAGAGCACTTTTTGGTTCCAGGTAGAACCCTTTTGGGTTCCATATAAAACCCTTTCCACAGAGGGTTCTACATGGAACCCAAAAAGGGTTCTACCTGGAAACAAAAAGGGTTCTCCTATGGGGACAGCCGAAGAACCCTTTTGGAACCTTTTTCTAAGAGTGTAGGAGATCCATAAAATAATTAAATGCGTTCTCTGGAGTGATGAATCACGCTTCACCATCTAGCTGTCCGACGGACGGATCTGGGTTTGGAGGTACCAGGAGAACGCTACCTGCACCAATGCATAGTGCCAACTTTAACGTTTGGTGGAGGAGGAATAATGGTCTGGGGCTGTTTTTCATGGTTCGTGCAAGGCCCCTTAGTTCCAGTGAAGGGAAATCTTAACGCTACAGCATACAATTACATTCTAGACGATTCTGTGCTTCCAACTGTTTAGGGAAGGCCCTTTCCTGTTTCAGCATGACAATGCCCCCGTGCATAAAGCGAGGTCCATACAGAAATGGTTTGTCGAGATCGTAATGTAGTGTAGCTAGCTAACTTAGCTGGTTCATTGTTGCCCATGCGAGGAAGTTAGGCTAGCAAGAATTTTAGCTAGGTAGCCTATGACAACAAAAACTAAAAGCATACTGTATGACAGAGCCATAGACCGTTTTGCCAACATGAAAGAGAGGAGGATGGCTTTGGCATTCAACTAGTCTACAAGTACAGTAGTCAGAAATGTGTTTTACTTGTGTGCTCACACACACACACACACACACACACACACACACACACACACACACACACACACAGAACTCAGTACCATGGACAGCCACATGATTGGACTGAATCGTTTTTGGTATCTTTAAGTTTGTTTTCAGTGTATTAATCTAAGCATATATAGCCTTGATGATTTGATGATGTTTAAATGTCTGTCACGCCTACACCCGCTCCCCCTCTCCAGCGCTTGACGTCGCCGGTCTACTAACCACCGGTCTTGGAACCATCATTACGCACACCTGCTCCCCATCATTACGCACACCTGGACTTCATCATCACCTTGATTACCTTCCCTTTATTTAGCAATCAGTAGCCTCAGTCATCCGGCAGTATTAGTTTGTTTTCATTCACGGTCTGTACGCTTCTCATGTTTTGTTTATCCGCATTCTTCATTATTAAACTCACCTTCTGCACCTGCTTCCTGACTCCCGGCGTATACGTGACAATGTATGAAATGGTGCTGAAATAGCGGAGGCAGTGCTCCTGTTGTCGTTGTGCTGACTTCCGGTAACTCCTTGGTTCTAAATCAGTAGTTGTTTAGTAAACTGTCGAAAACATTTAACTTGCTTGACCATGTTGCAGGTCATATAACTATTTGTTACTGTAGCGGGTGATTTAGGACAGAGTCAGGCGCAGGAGAGGAAATCACGGAATAAATGGTTTATTCAAATAAACAGAGGTACGCAGCAATGCGTAATATACACCAGTGCGGTAAACGGCGCACTGGGGAAGACAAGGCACACGGGTGAATATCCCGGCGATACACAATCCAAATCTAGCTCCACTGAGCTATATATCCTCTACAATGAACAATCACACACAAAGACAAGGGGGCAGAGGGAACACTTATACAGGTACTGATGAGGGGATATGAACCAGGTGTGTGTAATAGACAAGACAAAACAAATGGAATGATGAGATGAGGAGCGGCAGTGGCTAGAAGGCCGGTGACGACGAACGCCGAAGCCTGCCCGAACAAGGAGAGGTGGCAGCCTCGGAGGAAATCGTGACAGCTACATGCAATATTTGCTTTGTGGACTTCACCGGACAGATGTTGCTCTCCGGTCTGTGATGAAACAAACGGATGTGTAGTTGAATTCATTCCACCACTGCGTGACTGTTGTCTTTTTGTTGTCATGGCCTTATTATATATCATGGTGGCGTATGAACGAATGGGTTATAGAGCAAACAACGCAATTATCACAACATAGGTTGTAATTTGGATTTTTTACTGGCTTGGCTTCCTCAGTGATTTTACCCACGCATTGCTAATGCTGCAACTACATGGATTCTGGAGTAAAGACCATCAAGAGTGAATAAGCATGGAGGTTCCTCCCTACGTCATGAACTTTCTGTAAAATGTACTGTACATCTTTCAGTAATGATGGTTTATGGTTTCCTTTGACTATTATTCCCTTTCCTTATTCATAATACCAGTACTTCACAGTCTGTACCATTAAGAGTGGCATCATGGGTACAGTATCATGGAGAACAGCTGTTTGCGGGGGCTGATACTCACACTCTGCCAGCATGCCCATCTCCTTGCACTTCCGGAGACGACACTCCTGGCACTTCCTCCGCATGTACATGTCCATCTCACAGGTCCCTCCATTCTTGCACTTGTACACAGCGTTCTTGGTGATGCTCCGCCTGAAGAAGCCTGAAGGCAGTGATCAACACTATTACCCAGTGACCTCAGTCTTTGGTGATATGATGAAATACTAGTGATATTATGTACTGTGAAGGTGAAGTGTCCTCGAAACTGACTAGCTCAATATTGGAATAAACCTGATAGACTTGCCCTACAAATACTATGACGCGATACAGGTACATGGTCACCCATAAACTACACCTCTAATGGAATGATGGCATTGGATTGTAGCTGATCTATGCCATATGCCCTTGGCCTTGACATATGCCCAAGGGGTGCTTCAAACCATTAACATTAACCCCTTTCAACAGTGTAACTCATAGTACTAACAGGTAATTAGACATTCAAGTGCAGGGTGATGAGTACAATGACACACATTAACATTGCTTAGCTCCGGTTCCCTCCGCCATTATACAGATGAAAGCTGAGAGGGAACCCTATCCGGAGGGTGAACCAACGAGGCACAAACCTAAGCTCAGACATGAGGCAGGACAGCCCAGTGACCACAACCTTGCCATTGTCCACCCCAACAGGGTGGAATTACACTTGCACCCATTCACCTGGGGTTTTACACAAAATATAATAAAACGATGTTGTCGTAAAACAGTTAAAAGATGGATTGTTAGTTGTGGTTTGTTAGTTGTGGTTTGTCACAATTTGTACATGAAGAGCTGCTGTAAAGTAATGCTTACTTGGCACTGTGTGAAGTCCAGAAACAATTCATTAATTTTTCCTTGTCATGAGGAAATATAATATTGATGCATCCACTGCTGTCTGTGCGCGTCTCGGTGTCGACCACTCTTCTCTGCCTTGGCAAAATGTCTGCGTTCTAGTCTAACCACATCGCATTTTGGAGAGTAGGCTATAGTCTACCACCCGTTTTCAAGCCCATTCGTTGATTTTCCATGCCTCTGACTTGCGATAATGATAGAAAGTGGTGTAATAGCCTACAGTTTTCTGTACATTTTGTTTTAATTATTGTGATAGGCTCATGTTTTACCGGTAAGGCATACCACCACTATTTATTTGCCGGTATGCTGTACCGGACCGTACCGCCTTACTTCCCACTGCAGTGGAGTAATCTTCAAAAGAACTGAAGATAAACAGAACCTTATCACCACCAGGTCAACTAATGATCACCTAATGTAATCTCTTTTCATTCTAGTCCTCTATGAACGCAACGCCAGTCAAAAACAACATTCTTATCAACTACTAGCTCTTTCAATAACACATTTCTTATGAGTCACTTGTGGCATCAACGTCTCTCCCTCCTCACAATTACATTTCCCCTGTGAAACAGCATTACTAAACCAACAAGCCGCAGGCTTAATAAGTGTTCAGCTGTTAACAAGACTTTAATTCACTTGTGCATGTAGAATCACCTCACCAGAAGTGATATGCACAGCCTTTGAGAAGATGTGGGCCCATCCATAGAGGGCTTTCTCAAATGCTGAATGTGGAAGATACTCTTTTTTGGCACTATCTTTGCAGTCCATAGCACTTCAATGTCTACAGCTATGATCTAAATGTAACACTAAACTACTGTTCTTACAAAAAAGAATGGCGCTGGAATAGATAGCTGCAGTTTTACAGGCTCCTGGCCAATTCAGCTATTTTGTGTTTTTGTGCGCTAAACTTTTTTTATACATAATGTTTCTGCCATCGTTTCCTATGACCGAAAAGAGCTTCTCGACATCAGAACAGCGATCACTAACCTCGATTTGGAGGAAGATTTCTACTTCAACGAGTCGGCAGCGCAGGACATACTGCTCACCCCGGACCAGGCCTTAATCCCCGAGACTTGGAAGAGAAAAAGACGGTGCAAACAAGAACATGCTCATCCAGAGGAGGCACTCCTAGTGGCCGGTGATTTTAATGCAGGGAAACTGAAATTGTACCAGCATGTCATCTGTACAACTAGAGGCAAAAAAAAACTATAGATCACCTTTACTCCACACACAGAAATGCATACAAAGCTCTCCCTCGCCCTCCATTTGGCAAATCTGACCATAACTCTATCCTCCTGATCCCTTCTTACAATCAAAAACTCAAACAGGATGTACCAGTGAAGTGGTCCGATGAAGCGGATGCTAAGCTACAGGACTGTTTTACTAGTACAGACTGGAATATGTTTCGGATTCATCCGATGGCCCCGTGTAGCTCAGTTGGTAGAGCATGGCGCTTGCAACGCCAGGGTTGTGGGTTCGTTGTGGGAGTTTACCACATCAGTCATTGGCTTCATTAATAAGTGCATCGACGACGTTATCCCCACAGTCAGTGACTGTACGTACATGTCCCAACCAGAAGCCATGGATTACAGGCAACATCCACACCGAGCTAAAGACTAGAGCTGCCACTTTCAAGGAGCAGGACACTAATCCGGACACTTATAAGAAATCCCACTTCGACCTCTGACGAACCATCAAACAGGCAAAGCGTGAATACAGGACTAAGATCGAATCCTACTACGCCGGCTCTGACACTAGTCGGATTTAGAGGAGCTAAATGCCTTCTATGCTTGCTTCGAGGCAAGCAACACTGAACAATGCTTGAGAGCACCAGCTTTTCCAGACAACTGTGTGATCATGCTCTCTGTAGCTGATGTGAGTAAGACCTTTAAACAGGTTAACATTCACAAGACAGCTTACCAGGACGAGTACTCAGAGCATGCGCTGACTAGCTGGCAAGTGTCTTCACTGACATTTTCAACCTCTCCCTTACCCAGTCTGTAATATCTACAAGTTTCAAGCAGACCACCATAGTCCCTGCGCCCAAGAATGCCAAGGTAATCTGTCTAAATGACAATTGCCCCGTAGCACTCACATCTGTAGTCATGAAATGCTTTGAAAGGCTGGTCATGGCTCACATCAACACCATCATCCCAGACACCCTGGACCCACTCCAATTCGCATACTGCCCCCAACAGATCCACAGATGATGCAATGTCTATTGTAACCAACACTGCCCTCTCCCACCTTAACAAGAGGCACACCTATGTCAGAATGCTGTTTATTGACTACAGTTCAGCGTTCAACACCATAGTGCCCTCCAAGCTCATCACTAAGCCGAGGACCCTGCGACTGAACACCTCCCTCTGCAACTGGATCCTGGAATTCCTGACAGGTCGCCCCCTGACCCTCAACACAGGGGCCCCTAAGGGGTGCGTGCTTAGTCCCCTCCTGTACTCCCTGTTCACCCACGACTGTGTGACCGCACCCAACTCCAACACCATCATTAAGTTTGCTGATGACACAACGGTGGTAGGCCTGATCACCGACAACGATGAGACAACCTATGAGGAGGATGTCAGAGACCTGGCAGTGTGGTGCCGAGACAACAACCTCCCCCTTAATGGACAAAGGAGCTGATCGTGGACTACAGGAAACGGAGGGCCGAGCAAACCCCCATTCACATCGACGGGGCTGTAGTGGAGCAGGTCGAGAGCTTCAAGTTCCTCGGTGTCCACATCACTAAGGCTCTATCATGGTCCACACAGACCTGAAGAGGGCACCACGACAATGCCTCTTCCTCCTCAGGAGGCTGAAAAGATTTGGCATGGGCCCTCAGGTCCTCAAAATGTTCTACAGCTGCACCATTGAGAGCATCTTGACTGGCTGCATCACCGCTTGGTATGGCAACTTCTTGGCATCCGAACGCAAGGCACTACAGAGGGTAGTGCGTACGACCCAGTACGTCACTGGGGCCAAGCTCCCTGCCATTCAGGTCCTCTATACCAGGCAGTGTCAGTCAGAGGAAGGCCCAAAAAATTGTCAAAGACTCCAGCCACCCAAGTCAAAGACTGTTCTATCTCCTACCGCACTGCAAGCGTTACAGATGCACCAAGTCTGAAACAAACAGGACCCTGATCAGCTTCTACCCCCAAGACTGCTAAATGGTTAGTTAAATAGTTAACCAAATAGCTACCCAGACTATCTGCATTGAGCCTTTTTGCACAATTTTTTTTTAACGAATCACATACACAGCTGATACTGTTTATTCCTAGTTATATGTACAGTACCAGTCAAAAGTTTGGACACACCTACTCATTCAAGGGCTTTTCTTTATTTGTACTATTTTCTACATTGTAGAAGACATCAAAACGATGAAATAACACATATGGAATCATGTAGTAACCAAAAAAGTGTTAAACAAATCAAAATATATTTTATATTTGAGATTCTTCAAAGTAGCCACCCTTTGCCTTGATGACAGCTTTGCACACTCTTGGCATTCTCTCAACCAGCTTCACCTGGAATGCTTTTCCAACAGTCTTGAAGGAGTTCCCACATATGCTGAGCACTTGTTGGCTGCTTTTCCTTCACTCTGCGGTCCAACTCATCCCAAACCATCTCAATTGGGTTGAGGTCGGGTGATTGTGCAGGCCAGGTCATCTGATGCAGCACTCCATCACTTTCCTTCTTGGTCAAATAGCACTTACACAGCCTGGAGGTGTGTTGGGTCATTGTCCTGTTGAAAAACAAATGATAGTCCTACTAAGCTCAAACCAGATGGGATGGCGTATCGCTGCAGAATGCTGTGGTAGCCATGCTGGTTAAGTGTGCCTTGAATTCTAAATAAATCACTGACAGTGTCAACAGCAAAGCACCCCCACACAATAACACCTCCTCCTCCATACTTCACGGTGGGAACCACACATGCGGAGATCATCCGTTCGCACACACTGCGTCTCACAAAGACATAGCGGTTGGAACCAAAAATCTCAAATTTGGACACATTTCCACCGGTCTAATGTCCATTGATCGTTTCTTGGCTCAAGCAAGTCTCTTCTTATTATTGGTGTCCTTTAGTAGTGGTTTCTTTACAGCAATTCGAAAATGAAGGCCTGATTCACAAAGTCTCCTCTGAACAGTTGATGTTGAGATGTGTCTGTTACTTGAACTCTGTGAAACATTTATTTGGGCTGCAATTTCTGAGGCTGGTAACTCTAATGAACTTATCCTCTGTAGCAGAGGTAACTCTGGGTCTTCCATTCCTGTGGTGGTCCTCATGAGAGCCAGTTTCATCATAGCGCTTGATGGTTTTTGCAACACTTTTTTGGATACTAAATGATTCCATGTGTTATTTTATAGTTTTGATGTCTTCACTACATTTACATTTTAGTCATTTAGCAGACGCTCTTATCCAGAGCGACTTACAGTTAGTGAATACATTAATGTTTTTTTTTTTTTATACTGGCCCCCTATGGGAATCGAACCCACAACCCTGGCATTGCAAACGCCATGCTCTATCAACTGAGCTACATCCCTGCCGGCCATTTCCCTCCCCTACCCTGGACGACGCTGGGCCAATTGTGCGCCGCCCATGAGTCTCCCGGTCGCGGCCGGCTGCGACAGAGCCTGGATTCGAACCAGGATCTCTAGTGGCACAGTAAGCACTGCGATGCAGTGCCTTAGACCACTGCGCCACTCAGGAGCACTACTCAGGAGCACTACTATTGTACAATGTTGAAAATAGTAAAAATAAAGCAAAACCCTTGAATGAATACAGTCTGGGAAAAAATTATTTGATCCCCTGCTGATTTTGTACGTTTGCCACTGACAAATAAATGATCAGTCTATAATTTTAATGGTAGGTTTATTTGAACAGTGAGAGACAGAATAACAACAAAAAAATCCAGAAAAACGCATGTCAAAAATGTTATAAATTGATTTGCATTTTAATGAGGGAAATAAGTATTTGACCCCCTCTCAATCAGAAAGATTTTTCTGGCTCCCAGGTGTTTTTTTATACAGGTAACGAGCTGAGATTAGGAGCACACTCTTAAAGGGAGTGCTCCTAATCTCAGCTTGTTACCTGTATAAAAGACACCTGTCCACAGAAGCAATCAATCAATCAGATTCCAAACTCTCCACCATGGCCAAGACCAAAGAGCTCTCCAAGGATGTCAGGGACAAGATTGTAGACCTACACAAGGCTGGAATGGGCTACAAGACCATCGCCAAGCAGCTTGGTGAGAAGGTGACAACAGTTGGTGCGATTATTCGCAAATGGAAGAAACACAAAAGACCAGTCAATCTCCCTTGGCCTGGGGCTCCATGCGAGATCTCACCTCGTGGAGTTGCAATGATCATGAGAACGGTGAGGAATCAGCCCAGAACTACACGGGAGGATCTTGTCAATGATCTCAAGGCAGCTGGGACCATAGACACCAAGAAAACTATTGGTAACACACTACGCCGTGAAGGACTGAAATCCTGCAGCGCCCGCAAGGTCCCCCTGCTCAAGAAAGCACATATACAGGCCCATCTGAAGTTTGCCAATGAACATCTGAATGATTCAGAGGAGAACTGGGTGAAAGTGTTGTGGTCAGATGAGACCAAAATCGAGCTCTTTGGCATCAACTCAACTCGCCGTGTTTGGAGGAGGAGGAATGCTGCCTATAACCCCAAGAACACCATCCCCATCGTCAAACATGGAGGTGGAAACATTATGCTTTGGGGGTGTTTTTCTGCTAAAGGGACAGGACAACTTCACCACATCAAAGGGACGATGGACGGGGCCATGTACCGTCAAATCTTGTGTGAGAACCTCCTTCCCTCAGCCAGGGCATTGAAAATGGGTCGTGGATGGGTATTCCAGCATGACAATGACCCAAAACACACGGCCAAGGCAACAAAGGAGTGGCTCAAGGAGAAGCCCATTAAGGTCCTGGAGTGGCCTAGCCAGTCTCCAGACCTTAATCCCATAGAAAATCTGTGGAGGGAGCTGAAGGTTCGAGTTGCCAAACGTCAGCCTTGAAACCTTAATGACTTGGAGAAGATCTGCAAAGAGGAGTGGGACAAAATCCCTCCTGAGATGTGTGCAAACCTGGTGGCCAACTACAAGAAACGTCTGACCTCTGTGATTGCCACCAAGTACTAAGTCATGTTTTGCAGAGGGGTCAAATACGTATTTCCCTCATTAAAATGCAAATCAATTCATAACATTTTTGACATGCATTTTTCTGGATTGTGTTGTTGTTATTCTGTCTCTCACTGTTCAAATAAACCTACCATTAAAATTATAGACTGATCATTTCTTTGTCAGTGGGAAAACGTACAAAATCAGCAGGGGATCAAATACTTTTTCCCCTCACTCTAGGTGTTCCAATCTTTTGACTGATAGTGTACATATTTACCTCAATTACCTGAAATCCCTGCACATCGACTCGGTACTGCTACCCCGTGTACATAGCCAAGTTAACATTACTCATTGTGTATTTATTATAACTTTTATTATATTATTGTTATTACTTTTCTAATATTTCTGTATTTTCTGTCTCTCGGCATTGTTGGGAAGGGCCCGTAAGTAAGCATTTCACTGTTAGTCTACATCTGTTGTTTACAAAGCATGTGACCATTAAAAAATATATTGATTTGATACCTTTACACCCCTCACAGGTGAGAGCGTTATAGTGGTACCCAGATGCCTTGTCCCCACACACCACACACAGCTCCTCCCCTTTGACCCTGCCTGTGTGGGATGTGTGCCGGGTTCTCTTGCACACCGCAGGCACTACGGTGGACGCCTCTTCCATTTCAGCATTATAAGTGCCCTCTTGGGGTCCTTTCCTCAGTTCATACATCCCTGTGGGTGAGTACCACTCATCGCTGCTGTACTGGGGGTAGTAGTTCTGACTGGAGTAGATTGGTGGGGAGGACATGGTGGGCTCCACCGAGGGGTATTGCATGCTGGGATAGCTGGTGAAGGGTAAGACTTCCTGGTCCTGGAGCAGAGGGCTCCCTTGCTCTGCCAGAATATCTGGAAGGAGAAAAGAAAGAGGTATAGATTAAATTATAGTATCACTGAATAGAAGTGTGCAATAAACTGATGATTTTAATCCTGTTAAGTCTTTATAGCCAACACACAAGTCAGCATTTTGTCAGCATGGTTTAGAAAAGCCACAATAGCTACACATTTCCCAAGCCAATAAATCCTGTATTTTCCCAAGGATAGTGAGACAAAACAAAACCATTTATCTGATCGGACAAAAACCACTTCCCAGCAGAAGCTTTTACAGTAGTATTAGATAGTGACTTAATCTGAGTATTTAAACGTTAGCATAACAGGGGATAGTAATCTAAACAGTCACATATAAACCCAGCAAAACTTAAAGGTAGTCTCAGTGATATGACGTAGATGCAAAAAGTAAACAGCATAGTGGGTCAATTTCTGTAACAACTAAGAGCGTTGAAGCGTGAGGCTCAACTTCTCCACTGTTTTGGTGTCCTGGCTACCACGCTGTAACAGCATGAAGCTAACCCGTGCACATGCGCAGATAAATCAAATCAAATCAAATCAAATGTATTGGTCACATACACATGGTTATCAGATGTTATTGCGAGTGTAGCGAAATGCTTGTGTTTCTATTTCTGACAGTGCAGCAATATCTAGCAAGTAATATCTAACAGTTCCACAACAAAAACCTAATACACACAAATCTAAGTAAAGGAATGGAATAAGAACATATAAATATATATATTGTGTGTGACTGTGTGACTGTGTAAGAGCGAAGTCTTGCATCTTGCTCATCTCAATATCTGCGGTGCTGCTCATGGCAACGTCATTTCGCCGAGTCTACCTTTATCCTCACGCTCTCACAGAACACTGTCACAGCAGAATGACAGGACAGCTTGAGCTAACAAACTATTTCCAAAGAGATATAGTACTTACTGCATATATCTATATATTTCTACTTATATTATACACATTTCTATATTTCAGAAATGCTTTATCATCAGGTTTATCTACTGTCATAAAATATAATAATCCTATTCCTATTATGTCAGCATGAACCCTTGAAGGTTAGACGTCAGCTAGCATTTTAACTATTTTGATTCCTTCATATCACTTTTATTAATTAAAATACATTAAGGTCAAAATACATACTGGGCAACAAAAAAACTGCTGGAATGTAGCCGTACAGTTCTATAGTGTTAAATTAATCCAAAATCATCTGATAACACACATAACCCAAACTGACGCAACACAATCGACGGACGTGAGATACTGACCTCCAGAATGTTTGATCTGGACCGTGGCCATCTCAGGGTGACCCAGTGCACCCAGGATAAAAACCTTCCCTTTCACTGTCTCTCTCTTTGTCTCTCTCTCTGTCTCTCTCCCTCCCTCCCTCTCTCCCTCTTTCTTTCTCTGACCACCTGAAAAGTAATCCCCCTCTGCGGCTCTACACTTACCGTTACTTCTTCTACTTCAGCATAACTCCCTCTATTGTTTTCTGAAAATTAAATTCTCCATAAAAATGCTGGTTCAATAGTCCTAAAACAGAACAGTTTTGTGCTTGCTTGAGGACTGACTCAGGAATGCCAAAGGGGAGCAAAGGTTTTCACGGCTACTTATTAACCTGACTGTCACATTTCTGCCCATCAATAAGGTAGTTGGTTTGGTAATGTGTAAAGTCGCTTTCACATCTGGCCTGTGTGACTGGCTGCAACTGACTGAGGGGTAATGTGTGTCATAGGTGGCAACTGGATCGCCTGATCCCAGATCTGCATGTGCCAACTCTCCTAACTATCATTGGCATGCCATGTGCATATACTGTATATAATATGGTACACTGCATATTATGTATTGCATGACAAAAATAGGCAGAGGAGTTGGATGAAGCACATACAGTACTGATCTGGGACCAGGCTAGTCATTGCTTACCAAAGAAGTGTGAGCTCTCAGACAGTGGGAATCCATCGCTGGGTGGGATCTGTAGTAGTCCCACCACATTGACGTCGGGGCCCACCCAATCATTCATTCACAAATCTGGTTGGACCTCAGCTCAGAGTAAAGATGGTGTGATTGGCCAAAACACAAGGAGGGAATTAAGAAGTAAGTTCTTTCCAGTCCAATCCTGTAAGAAACGAAGATACACCCAGACATGACATTTACGTTAAGCTGCTTGGTGTTAAATACCTCACGGACAACTCTTTAGCCTTCAGAAAATATTCAGACCTCTTGACTTTTTCCACGTTTTGTTGTGTTACAGCCTGAATTTAAAATGGATTACATTTAGATTTTTTTGTCACTGGCCTACCCACAATTGTTAACATTTTAAAATGTTAATTACAAATTAAAAGCTGAAATGTCTTCAGTCAATAATTATTCAACCCTTTTGTTATGGCAAGCCTAAATAAGTTCAAGAGTAAAAATGTAAGTCACATACTAAGTTGCATGGACTCACTCTGTGTGCAATAATAGTGTTTAACATGATTTTTGAATGACTACCTCATCTATGTACCCCACACATACAATTATCTGTATGGTCCCTCAGTCGAGCAGTGATTTTCAAACACAGATTCAACCACAAAGAGCAGGGATGTTTTCCAATGCCTAGCAAAGAAGGGCACCTATTGGTAGATGGGTAAAAATAAAAAAGCAGACGTTTGAACATGGTGAAATTATTAATTACACTTTGGGTGGTGTATCAGTACACCCAGTCACTACAAAGATACAGGCGTCCTTCCTAACTCAGTTGCCGGAGAGGAAGGAAACCGCTCAGGGATTTCACCATGAGGCCAATGGTGACTTTAAAACAGTTACAGAGTTTAATGGCTGTGATAGGAGAAAACTGAGGATGGATCAACAACATTGTAGTTACTCCACAATACTAACCTGACAGAGTGAAAAGAAGGAAGCCTGTACAGAATACAAATATAAAGAAACATGCATCCTGTTTGCAATAAGGCACTAAAGTAATACTGCAAAACATTTGTGAAAGTAATTTACTTTTTGTACTGAATACAAAGTGTTATGTTTGGGGCAAATCCAATACAAGACATTACTGAGTGCCACTCTACATATTTTCAAGCATAGTGGTGGCTGCATCATGTTATGGGTATGCTTGTCATTGGCACGGACTAGGGAGTTTTTTTTTTTTTTTAGAAGGATTACTGTTATACTATTCCAGGTATTCCTTAAAGAGGTAGGGTTTCAAGTGTCTCCGGAAGGTGGTCAGTGACTCCGCTGTCCTGGCGTCGTGGGGGAGCTTGTTCCACCATTGGGGTGCCAGAGCAGCGAATAGCTTTGACTGGGCTGAGCGGGAACTGTGCTTCCGTAGAGGTAGGGGGGCTAGCAGGCCAGAGGTGGATGAACATAGTGCCCTCGTTTGGGTGTAGGGTCTGATCAGAGCCTGAAGGTAAGGAGGTGTCGTTCCCCTCACAGCTCCGTAGGCAAGCACCATGGTTTTGTAGTAGATGCGAGCTTCAACTGGAAGCCAGTGGAGTGTGCGGAGGAGCGGGGTGACATGAGAGAACTTGGGAAGGTTGAACACCAGACGGACTGCAGCGTTCTGGATAAGTTGTAGGGGTTTAATGGCACAGGCAGGGAGCCTAGCCAACCACGAGTTGCAGTAATCCAGACAGATTGAACAAGGGCCAGTCGGTCCTAAGAGATATTTCTGTATTTCATTTGCAAACATTTCTAAAAACACATTTTCACTTTGTCGTTATGGGGTATTGTGTGTAGATGGGTGAGATTATTATTATTTTTAATCAATTTTGAATTCAGGCTGTAACACAACACAATGTGGAATAAGTCAAGGGGTATGAATACTTTCTGAAGGCACTGTATGCATCGGCCATGCATTATTCTACTTTATGGTAATTATGATATTTGCAGATTTATGCCTTCTTATGAAGGAATGTAAATGGCTTAAATCATCCTATTAAGAGAAAGAAACTCCACACCTGTCCCCCAAAATAAAAGCTCACAGGACACAATGTAAGGCCTGAAAATGTGTTTAAATACATATGTCACGATCGTCTGAAGGAGCGGACCAATGCGCAGCGTTGCGAGTGAACATGATGACTTTATTATTTAAAGCAACCACGAAGAAAACAACAAATGACGATACGTGAAGTTCAAAATACTGATACAGACTAACAGCAACACGGAAACAATAACCCACAAAACAAAGGAGAAAACACACACAGTTAAATATGGCTCCCAATCAGAGATAACGAGCCGACAGCTGACACTCGTTACCTCCGATTGGGAGTCACTGACCAAACATAGAACGAGAACACCTAGACACTAAACACAGTACAAAACACACGGAAATCTACACACCCTGACTCAACATAAAAAGTCCCAGAGCCAGAGTGTGACAGTACCCCCCCCTAAAGGCGCGGACTCCGACCGCGCCTACACCCCAAATAGGGGAGGGCTGGGTGGGTGTTGCTCCTCGGAGGCGGCTCCGGCTCCGGGCTTGACCACCACCCTTCTTCAATCCCCCCGTAGCGCCCCCGGTCCGATCTAACCCAGCTGGTAGGATCTGGACTGACGACGCGCACCCCTGGCTTGGCGCGTGCGGCAGGAACGGACCGGACCTGGCTGACGATACGCACCCTAGGCTTGATGCGTAGAGCCGGAACGGGCCTCACCAGGCTGACGACTCGCATCCCTGGCTTTGTGCGAGTAGCAGGAATGGGCTGGATCAGGCTGACGGCTCGCACCCTTGGCTTGGTGCGAGTAGCAGGGACGAGCTGAACCAGGCTAACGACTCGCACCCTTGGCTTGGTGCGAGTAGCAGGATCGGGCTGGACCAGGCCGACGACTCGTACCCCTGGCTTGGTGCGAGTAGCAGGAACGGGCTGGACCAGGCTGACGACTCGCACCCTTGGCTTGGTGCGAGTAGCAGGAACGGGCTGGACCAGGCTGACGACTCGCACCCTTGGCTTAGTGCGAGTGGCAGGAACAGGCCGGGCCGGGCTGGCGACGCGCACCGTAGGTTTAGTGCGAGTGGCAGGAACAGGCCGGGCCGGGCTGGCGACGCGCACCGTAGGTTTAGTGCGAGTGGCAGGAACAGGCCGGGCCGGGCTGGTGACGCGCACCGTAGGTTTGGTGCGAGTGGCAGGGACAGGCCGGGCTGGGCTGGCGGCGCACACCGTAGGTTTGGTGCGAGTGGCAGGAACAGGTCGGGCTGGGCTGGAGACGCACACCGTAGGCTTTGTGCGTAAAGCAGGAACAGGCCGGGCTGGGCTGACGACGCGCACCACTGCCTTGGTGGGAATGGCAGGAACAGGCCGAACCGTACTGGGGACACAAACCACTGGCTCCACGCAGGGATCAGGAACGGGCCGGACCGGACTGGTAACACATCCCAGTACCTCTCGCCGTGCCTCCACACTTTCCCTCTCCTCTGTGCCCAGTGGCCCCCCTAACCTGGCGGCCCTCTCTGCCAACGCTTTGCACCACTCTAACCCGTACACCTGCTGCCCCGACGTCGTGAGCCCCCCCCTAAAAATTTCCTGGGGGTCTCTCCTCCCCGTGGCCCAGGCCTCTCTCCCTCCTGCCAGACTCGCAATCATCTCCTGCCACGTCCATCCTCTCTCCTCGTCCCGCTGCTTGATCCAGTCGAGGTTTCCACGGCGATCTGCCAGCGATGGCTCCTGAACACGCTGCTTGGTCTGGTTATGGTGGGTTATTCTGTCACGATCGTCTGAAGGAGCGGACCAATGCGCAGCGTTGCGAGTGAACATGATGACTTTATTATTTAAAGCAACCACGAAGAAAACAACAAATGACGATACGTGAAGTTCAAAATACTGATACAGACTAACGGAAACAATAACCCACAAAACAAAGGAGAAAACACACACAGTTAAATATGGCTCCCAATCAGAGATAACGAGCCGACAGCTGACACTCGTTACCTCCGATTGGGAGTCACTGACCAAACATAGAACGAGAACACCTAGACACTAAACACAGTACAAAACACACGGAAATCTACACACCCTGACTCAACATAAAAAGTCCCAGAGCCAGAGTGTGACAACATACCTAAAGTGTTTACTATACAGTAGTCTTGCGTTGCCAGACTTCCAAGTCTCTCGGCTATTGGAACGAATGTGAGAAAGCCGTAAATTGAGGTTCCCAGTATTATAGTATTCTATTTCCTCAAAACACCTCATTGGATAATCCAATACTTATTGAATTACTGTGCTTGATAATGAACTGCTTAAAATAATGGTGCGTTAACAGTAGAGAAAGCCAACATTTACTTTCTATAACAGGCTGTGTATAATACAATAGCATGCATTGTCAAATAATTTCATTTCAGTTTGTGTTTCGCTTGTTACATTTTGTAAGACTGGCTGCAGAAGCCACTGGAAATGTCATTACCTCAGGACCTTGTCTCGTGTAATGTGTTGTTTCCCTTTTGGTGTAACCATAACCACACTACTCAACTATTCAAAAACAATTATTCTGCAGAGTATTCCCTTTAGGTTACATTCTGTACTGGGAATGGGGGATACCTAGTCAATTGCACAACTGAATGCCTTCAACCGAAATGTGTCTTCCGCATTTAACCCAACCCCTCTGAATGAGGTCTGTTCCAGTGCAGTACACAGGTGCTATTGTATTCCTCTATTATCACAGTAAAATAAACACAGTCCTTTCCCCAAACTTTCCATGGACTCCCTGAATCTATCACTGACTAGCAGCACCCATGGTGGCGTTAACTGACATCAGTCTGCAGTGAACAGAGAGGAGGTAAATCACCATGTGTACCAGGGGTTGGAACCGGTTCAGGGAATAGAACCGAAAACTGGAAAATAAATACATTTTATGAAGGACAGAATCAGAACTGGAAACGAAAGTGATCTATACTGTTCTGGAACAGAACCATTATTTTAAAAGCATGGGAACCGGTTAATAACGTTATTTTACGTTCCGGGCATTTTTTTCCAGTCCCACAAAAAATGCAACAAAGCGCCTATGCAAAGCCCTCACTCTATCACTCAGAAACGT